TACGTTCTCACCAAGGGTCATCATGGGACTTCGGGACACCCTGTATATCGCTTGTAAGGCTGAGTTCCTACTGAGCGTGTCACGCGTTGCGTCGTTTGCCTGCGTCACGAGTTAATCAATCAAATCGTTCCATTGGAACAAATGCATCGTGCGTCGCGCGTCGCGTCATTCCAATTAGAGGATTTGATTGGTTAACTCGGATGCAACAGACGACGCGATGCGTGACGTGCTCAGTGGGAACTCAGCCTAAGGGAGAGTTCCCACTTAGCGCGTTACGCGTCGCGTCGTTCTTCGCGGACTAATCAAATCGTCCCATTTTATTGCCTAACTTTACGAAGAATAAAATGGGACGATTTCATTGGTCCGCGAAGGACGATAGAACACTACCCATCGAGGATTTCTGAATATAGCCCTGTGTGGCTGCGTTCCGAAATTCCCTGTCAGTGCTAAAATTCTATAGTATACGTAACATAAACTATAAATTTTCAGTACTAGGCCTATATTCTTGAAATTTTTGCGTATATGTAATTTTCATTGCGTAGCTATTTTATGGTATGATTAAACCTGCGCAGTGAAACTTACGTATATTATTTCAAGAATAAGAGCCCTAGCAGTAAATTTCGGAATGCAGACTGTATGAGCGTATCACTAGAGGTAAGGTTAGTTTAAGTAAAGAGAGATAGCGAATGTATATCTTTCCCTCTTGCAGGATTTTGACAAACTATTCTGTTGGCCAATCTCTGCTTTAGGGTCTTTAGTGCCTAGTAGAGTTCCTACTAGCATGTTCGACTGGCTCTGGGTTAACCCATTCTGGGTTATTCAGTCTACGTTTATTGGTGGAATAAGTACTTATAAGCTTTATGATTGGCTCGTAGAGACTTATGACGTCATTAATCGCTCTCGGAGCGATTAACCCAGGGCCAGACAAACATGCTATATAAGATAGAGTTTGACCACGTGTGTGTGTTCCTCCTTATTAGTCGAAATAAGGTTTGAAAAAACATGGCAGAACCAATAGAAATTGTCATGGGAAGCGAAATAATTTGAAAAATAAAATAAGAAAATTATAAACAATTAGTAGTCTTTTTTTATTAAACTGTGAAATGAATAAATAAAAACATAATTTTGATTGTAAACGTGAAACATTATTAATCTGCAGAAAACGAATACGGTAAAAAGCCTTTCTGATAATAGTTCTTACATCGTGGAACACAACACTTTGGCATTTTGAAATCTGAAAATTTATATTTCGTATTGCGCTATTTTATCAATTGTCTTTTTAAATACTGTTCAAAATAATATGAAGTTACGATGACAATTTATGGAATAAATATGACCTTTTTATAATATCACAAATTTTACTTAATTAACTTTTTATTTTATCTTGGAAACAACGTACAGAATAATTTTACTTATTTCTATTAACAATTTATAGCCAAACTGACACTTTTATCTTGTAACGCGATAAATACCAGCTGCATTCATATGAGTGAATCCCAGATGCGCATATTGACAAATGGACACATCCAATCATATGTCGTTGTTTATAGAGTCTCTAGAATATCTCTAGGCATACGGCGTTGTGGTTGGCTGTGTCCGTTTTCAATGTGCGCATCTGGGACGCTCCCCATTCATATACAGAGTGTTCGGTAACTGATCGAGCAACCGCCGTATACGGGTAGAACGGATCAAAATAATCATAAAAGTTACATACCATTTTGAAATTTTCTCAATATTTATTCCGTATTTAATTAAAATGTATAAATGAATAAGCGCACGAGAAGCGGTAGGACAGGCTATGTGTGTAAAAGAAATGGTTTACCTCTTAGCAACGATTAGTTGCTAAGAGATACACCTGATTTCGAGGCGGAGTAACGTATACGTGTCGCTTGTTATACATCACGACCAATCACGACTCGATTTTGTTTATAGTTAGCCGCATCTTTAAGCCTTAAGAAATTGACCAATCACAGTCAATAATTCCCCTCAAATTTGATTGGTCAATTTCTTAAGGTTTAAAGCTTACTACATCTATTGTAGATCGGGACTATATCCTGCAATAGAATTCCTAGAGCGTCTAGAGAAATCTTAAAGATTTCTCCAACAACCAATCAACACATCCGCCAATATTGTCGTACGACAAATGAGACAGTTGGCTATGCGCCATTGTCAACCCGAATACAGAAGTTACTACGCGGGTTTAGGAAATTTTCATTACTACTCCTACTCAACTGTTACTAGCACTGATTGCAGGTTTGAAAATTTGACAAACGATGCTCGCGACAAAAGTGTTTACTACTTGTTTATTTAGAAAGATTTTATAATGAATATGAACATCGGCTTAAAGAGACACGTTTGACATTATTCTCAGATATAAGACAATACGTAATCACTTTGTTAAGTTTCACGAATAGGATATACGACTCGATATGTAGAAATCACAAGCGTTGTGAATTTTTCTTAAGTGATACTGACCGGCTTTGCCTTCGGTGGCTTGAAAAAGCAGAACGCAACGACTCCCAAGTACGGACTCCGAAAAGCCACAATAATGCGGTGACGAGCTGCACTTTACTAAACACTCCTCTGACGTACTCCGTACGACTACGAGACGTGAGATAAAAATTTCGACTCCGCATTACTACGGCACTATAAGCAGGTATAATCCGTCCTGCACTCCTACCGACATCTCGTCCGCGAGATACTTGCTCCCCGTCGTTTCGCGATATCTCACCACGATAAACGCACGGCTCTGGCTTTCGGCAGTCTCGAAGACGCTGATCCAGATACTGTGTACGAGACGACTACCGAATCCACGTAACCATGCCGCAATCATTTCGCGATTGGCCTGTGCTGGGATTCTGTAACTCGTTATTGGAGTTAACGACAGTTTCATTATTGTTGCGCAGCTTTTGTATACCGTACTACCGTATACCGAATATTGTAAAACAAACAAGAACTCTAAAGAAATAGATAATTTAAATAGTTTTTCAGATTAGGTGCGCTGCGAGAACATAGCGCACTTTCTTTTGAAAGTCAATTTTTTGTATTTAACGAACGGACTTATTTAAAATTGTTGCATAGAGCTCTAGAATTTTCAAGAGAGTATCAGAACTCTAAAAAAATGTCAAATTTTTGAATATGGTGTGCCAAGTTCACACAGACTTGGCACACCATATTTAAAAATGTGACATTTTTTTTAGAGTTCTGTTACTCTTTTCAAAAGCTCTAGAGCTCTATGCAACAATTTTATATAGTTCCGGTCATTAAAATAAAAAAAATAGGCTTTTAAAAAAAGGTGCGCTACGTTCTCGCAGCACACC